GATGACAATCTTACGGAGGTAGAGTTGCCGAAATCGGCAGGGAAGAGGGTGGAGCACGTCTATCACAGCCTAGGGGGATGTCCCGTCTTGTTGGATACCTATAACCATAACAGGTCACTCTGGAAATGCCTAACCCCCGCAGTGCTCACCCATGTCGAGCCGTACCACCCATGACGACGCCCACGGTATCATCGGAGATTCTGACACCACAGTAACTGCCATGAGAAACCTCAGTCGACTAGACTGCGTGCGCCCAACGTGTTCAAACAGGACGTTGAAGAGACGTACAATACAACACTGCCTACCTCCTGAGCTCACTAAGCAGAGGAGCAGCAAGCTGAGACGCAGCTGGCCTTCCACCACGTTGGGCGATTTGGTTTAGAATCTCGTCTGTCACACGCGCTTCCATACCAGGCTGAAAACATAGATGGAAATAGTGACATACCATGGAATCGTCATAGCAAGTGTGCGCAAGAGTATTGAGTAAAGGTTCGACTGTCACAACTCCATATCGGCCAATACAACTGCTCTCTCACCGGCCTCCTGCATACGGCTAAGCCATGCGGGCTCGGCAAGCCATATGCACATCGGACAACTTTCGCCGCCATCTCCAACTGATTGGAGTAGATACACCCACGTGCCAATACCGCGTACCTTCACATGAACAAGTGATCTTCAGTGTGGTAAAATGTGCACATGGTCCACCACATGTGTTGGTGATGATATGAAAATTATGAGGAAATTTTGGTAAATTCTCATTGATTTATGTCCATTACTACACGAATTCGTATGTTAACATGTATATTTCGTGGGGAAACTGTCAAGTTCAGCTGAGGACGGCGAACATATTTTTCAGCATTGGTGATCATTGCGTAATACAGGAGATGTTCAATACACCTCTCCCGATTTTCAAGAGCGCTTCTAACATCGAGTTCTACATGCCAAATCAAATCCTGTTAGCACTCTTGAAATCTCAAAACGACCCGATTCGCCCTGTTCTTGGGAAAAAAACATTGCACGCATGCCCACGTCTTCTGATCCGGATCAACCCGGTATTCCTGGATCATCGCGTCATGTAATTTCATAGCCCTCTGTAGCTGTTTGTTATGCACACACGCCTGTATCAAACACGTGTACCTACACACCGCTTCCTACATCTGACATGAGGTCCACACTCACACGTGGACGTTGGCTCGGAAGCCGTAAGCTGTGGAGAGATCCTCAACCATATTGAAAGCCTCCAACAGCCTCCGTGCTCTGCCCAGTAACTTCACCAAAATCGACAGAGTATAGTTACCTGAAAAATATTTCACCCAAGAACACGACCATACACCTCTCACTTGGTGCAACTCCATTCGCCCGCATCTCATCAAGCAACTGCAATGCTTGATCAACGCGATGCTGCTTAGCGCACCCATCCAACAGAGAGTTGTACATGATCTCATCAGGGGCCTGCGATCACTCCCACTAGTAAAAAATTTTCTCAAAAAATTCTATTACGAATTTCTTACGACCGCCACGACGACTGACGCCCGACATATCCCTCAACACTGAGAAGGCCGTATCAACGTCCCCAGCCAAGCAGTAACTATCAACACCACATAGTCGCCCACCAAAGCTCCTCTCTGCTCACCCTTTCACTACAGTGCTGTAAGTGATGATATCAGGTTCGATTCCTTGCTCGTCCATTTCTCGAAATATATCCGAAACCTGTCGTCGCATACACCTTAGCACAGCAAGTCACCATCAGCAAGCCCACCCGCTCCATCGAACCGCTCCGAGCACAGGCGTCCATGATCGTATTGAAGGAGACTGTATTAAGGGGAATCTTATTACTCCTCATTTCCTGGTATCTATCACACAATAGGCATACACTACATCAGCAACTCCAATACGTACATATCAAAAACTCTATCTACTTGTTTAGAAAGGGCGAACCCCTTGAGCACCGTTGAGTACCTGGCCAAAAGCCAGGAACCTTCTTAGAAGCGAAGTGAAAATGCGGAACGTATATGTTCAACAGGAATATAATAAAACATGAAGGAATACTCACACGATAGTATTCACACAATCAGCGCAATCTGGTGTATTGAGCATTTCATGAATTAATGATAGCGCATCTTCTGGGTAGCGATTCGTGACCAGAGCATCAACCATACCTACAACAAGCGACACAATACTGCCCTGCCCAGGGATCGAACCCGCGTCCTCTCACATCCCAACGTTATTGCTGTCGGTTTAACAGCCCTTTGACGCATCTCCGACCACAGCGACCAGACCCTCCTTAGATCCTTAGCGTGCCCATACGCCTTGATCATACTCCCATATGTCGGCGCTGTAAGGCCCTTCACCAGGCCTCCTCCAGCCGTATACCTACACTCAACCATCGGCCCCTGCGGGCCTGCGATAACATACTGTTGGAGCTTATTCGAGAGTATGTCCAATTTTCCAATCCGGATGCATGCCTCAATGACTGATGAGAACAGTACTTCATCCATCTCCCCACGCATTCTCTCCACTAACTCCATGGTTCTCACCTGCCAACAGTACTCGTCATCAAATCGAGCAATCTGCAGCCTTTCCAGGTCAATCGAGGAGTTTAATTTTTTACCCATCTGGTTGTAGTTTCACCTTGTTCGTTAACATTTTACCAATTGTTTCAATAAAATCCCAAGAAGATCAATTAAGTTTCACTCGTAATGTGAAAAACATGTTTCATGACTACTGCATAGCGCCGCGAATATCGCGTTTTTCACCGAGTTTTACGCCACGTTAACGTAATCACACTCGGAGAGTCCCTATATTAAATTTCAGGTTGATGTGAGTCAATAAAGTGGGTCTTCAGACTGCACGTACGCATCGCGACCAAGACATCTCTCATCAGTGAATTCCCTCAAGACGTCTACTACCACATCAGAGGAATGGGAATGGCTGGTCAACGCCTTGAGCAATATAGAACATGTCACTTTATTCGGAGGCAGACCGTTTGCCTTCATCTCCTCGACGACCTGAGCGGTGCATCACTACTACTACTACTACTACTACTACTACTACTACTACTACTACTACTACTACTACTACTACAGCAGCAGCAGCAACCTATGAGCCCCCTCACCTCCCAAATGCCCCTCTTATCCTTGCCCTGGACCATGCTATGCAGTAGCTCGTTGTACGTTATAACATTGGGTGGAAAACCCGCCTCCTGCATCTCACGCATCGTTTCTGTGCAAAGTCAATGCTTCAGTCACTTCCCCCACAAGGCATTCGAAACCCTATTATGTGGGGAGATATTCACATGCTCAACTACATGTGCTGTTAAATTCGGAAAATTCTTTTTCCTCCATCTTCACTTCTATCCGATTTCAGGCAACCTCCCAGGCTCAATTGAGACGGCGACATTCGACACAACACTGCTATAACCTTCCTACTTCTAGCTTGCCTCATATTGCCCTGCTTGAGATGACCCTTCATGACCGTATTGAACGATACCACCTAAATCAAGTTCTCTCCTGACGATCCCCCCAGCAACGCACAGATGCTCTACTGAGCGCATGCGTTCAACACTCCCGCACCAGTGATATACAAACGAAGGCTTGAGCTCACGTCTAGTCTGCCGGCATCCTTCATCTCCTCAAAGACTTTGCCAACCACATCCATATCGTCACACTGAACAGCTGCATCCAACAAACAATTGTATCTACACCAACACTACAGGGCAACAGCCCGATAAAACAGGTGCCTCCTCACACGAAAGGGCTGAGTTCTCCCGAGCTGTTACACCCTAGTGTCACCGCCGTCGATGCATCCCC